GTTTGCTTGGTCATATGTATTGTTATAATTTCTGGCTTGGGCTAATGGGAAACATAAGATTTTAAAATGATATTATAACAGTGAATATTTCCAATGTAAGCTGATAATACAGAAATCTATTCCTTCTGTACATTTTTGGTTTTATAGTTTTGGTTCTATAGTTCTATAGTGATTAGTTTAACGTCTTGTGCCCTGCTTCCAAAGGCATCAGGTTCAACACTACACAGGAGGCTTGGCCAAAGACACGACAGTAGAATTACGGCAGTTCCAGTCCCTCTCGGTGCCACACGGCCAGGATGCTCGAACGTGGCGCATGCAAGCTGAGCGTCTGACGCGGGAATTCACACAGGTAATTGACAATGCCAGCTAGTTAAGATTTATTGATTAAAAGTATATACCTTTGTATGGGAAGGCTCATGTAAGTGTTGTACTCACTACAAAATAAAGATCATGGCATTTGTCTTATGAGGAAGAATTGAATAGTCTTATTGTAATTTTCATCATCCAAGATTAAGAGAGTTACTCAGCTTATTTTTTTATCAGATTATTGATCTATAAAGTGTGCAAACCCATCTTTTAGATTAAATGAAGGATACATGTTTCCTGTAGAATTATTTTAACCACAAAGATGGGGAAAATGCACTCTGCTCTAATGCTTAGCCACAAAGGAGTCAATTAGTAGACTTTGTGACCTTACCTGATTTCACCTTTCCTTGAATGGGTGGGAAAAACATAATTTTACTAATGCTATGATCACCAATAGTGTTATTTTTATTGTAGAAATTATAATTACTATAATGTTAGAAACATTAGTAACAGCAAAATAGTATAACGTAAAATATTTTCATAAATCAAGGAAAAGGATAAACGGGTGAGACAGGCAGTACCCATAATTAACTCATTGGTGACTTAGTACAAATGTAGCCATCTATGTGTAAGAACAATTAATAAAGTAAACTCACAGTGGGCATGGCTTAAACATACATGCCATGCCCGTCAGCATTGGGTTAATCTGGATTGTAAGAATCATGTTGCATAGATGATACCATACATTATCGTTTAAGTGTAATGTTTAGTTATGAAGGCTAATGGAAATATAATTTTGAAAAATATCTCTTATATTGTCTTATAAAATCTTTTCTAGTTGTGTCTGTATGGTACTGATTTATTGACCTTTCTCATATGGTTTTCAGGCACTGAATGATTTCCAAGCAGCCCAGCGGCAAGCAGCAGCCAAAGAGAAAGAGGCACTGAAGAAGGCACGAGCAGATTCAGATGCCCATTTCTTTGGTAAGCATTTGTTGGGGTTTTTATATTTTTTGTTGTAAACTATAAGGAAAAAAATGGCTCTACTGATTTTGTCTCTCTGCTCACACTTTCTCTTTTAAGCGAGTGCTTCTTTTGCATTATGTGGTATGTGATTCTCCAATGCCATTTCAGAGGACCCCAGCCATGGCGCAGCTCTCTTGGACCTCGGAGACACACACAACAAAGGCTCGTCGCAACAGAGTCAGGTGCAAATACAGATGGAGCAAGAGCAGGAACTCAGGGCTCTGCAGGAACGCGAGGGACAGATTCGTCAGCTGGAGGTAAAGAGGCTTGGGAGATTTTGTGCCCTTATTGTTGGGAATGTGGTTTATTAGCTGTGTATTGTATTTATATACTGAACTTATTTTGGCCTTTGTTCTTTTTTCTCTTTTTTTGTTTTTTTAACATGTAAAGATTGTATTTGGTCCATGGTCTGATTTGTATTCTTTCCTCCTCCAACTAATATTACATGTATTACATATAATGCCCCTGGTGCCCCTCATGCTCTACACTACTTAGTTATGCCCTGCTCCTGTTATTCCTACTCCCCCTCCCCCTCCCCTTCTGCCTCCTGGTCTGCCTTCTCCCTTGTCTTTTTTGTGCACCAGTATTAATTTCTTATTATTTGATTATACATCTTGAGATTTATTTTCTTTTTACTCCCTGCCAGTCGGACATCATGGACGTTAACCAGATCTTCAAGGACCTGGCCACAATGGTTCACGAGCAGGGAGAGGTCATTGACTCCATCGAGGCCAACGTGGAATCGGCGCAGGTCCATGTCTCACAAGGGGCGGGACAGCTCCAGCAGGCACGGCAATACCAGGTATTTACGTCAGTTTTTTTTTTGGAAGGCGACTAGGTCTATGCATTTCGATCGTGTCACAGGCTGCATATTCTTTTATTATTTCCTTTTATTATTCATTATCATTTTTGGGGAGAGTCTGGAAGCTCGACAGGCTTTACAAAGATGGCGACAGTTAGATTGAACAGGTTTGTGTTGAGGCAAGTAATGGAATCTTTTTGGTTAGTTTAGATTTAGATTTGCTATGGCTTGTCAACCATAATTTTCCACTTGGAAGTCTATACTCTTTGACATAATTGATATGTTTTTGATGTAATACAATGACTTCCAAAAGTAAAATGACAAAACACAACCTTTGTTGAATTGTGGAAAGTTATTACTCGTTGATATTACGAATCTGCTAGTCATGATGTTGTACAATTTAGTTGGAATATAAACCATTTTTACCATGAAAAGTTAGAAATTAAAGAAGCATGCAGAGGAATGAGAAATAAGTCATATCAAGCCAAAACCTGTGAACAGTAAGTGGTGGTACATACCCTTCCAAGTGTGTTTTTATGTCTGGAGCAAAAGCATGCACCTAAAGCAGCATGTATTTGATTGCCATGTTGTGAAGCGTATACGAGGCTGAGGCCGTGATGGTGGCATTTTTTGTTTTTATTTGTTTTCTGTGCTTTGGTCACAAGTGTTCTAAATTACCTCAACATATATTTGATGTATGAGATATTTATTCAGTGTATGAATATAGATGTATATGAGGATCAAACAAGGTAAGGATTCACATGTCCATTTCATGGGAAATATTGTCATTCATATACTAGAACCATCGCAAATTTGATGTTCCAATTTAATGCAAAAGGTGGACAAGCCTGTTGTAAGTAGAATTATTAGATTATCACTGCCTCATACAAAAAGCCTGTATAAAGAGTAGGCTATACTAAATGCCTTAAAATTCATCTCAGTAGAGAAATGTGCGTAGATCCAAAGAAGAATCTTGGTAATTATGTCATATCTGTACAGGGCATATTGACCCTTTCAGTATGTATTTCATGTTAAGAAAGTACTGTCAATAATATACTTGGTATACAGATATTTGAATGGTTAATTTTAGGATTGGAAGACAAATTCCTGTAGTTGTTGCATATAGAATACAGAGGGATTGAGTATTTATTTCCCATTATGAGTAGTTGTGCCATCATTATTATCCTTTGTACAATTGTATAAGTGATCTGTGCAACTCAGATCTTCGTGTCTATTGTAAATACATTGATAAGTCCTCCATATGTATAGACAACAACAATGGTGAAAACAAAAGCATCATAAAAAATGTAGAAAAGAAAGTGGAAGAAAACTAGAGGATATTATGAGACCTCTCCTTCAAATGCTTTCAAAATCACACTGAAGTTAAAACACTGAAAATTTTATTTTTCCTTTTTTTCTTGTTTTGCCTTGTACTACACATGTTGAACATTTTCCTTTGAGATCAGGCTGTATGGTGTGAAATTGTATGAATAAGCAAAGTAAAATGATGAAATTGGTCTATACATTATGACAGAATCTGGTTTTATGATATGAAAGAATCTAACCCTTTGCCGTCGGGTGGTATGTACGCACATGCCATGGCATGCTTGGACTATATTCTGGGTGGCATGTGCATACATGTCATGGTATGACATGCCTGATTTCTGGGGACATACATATTCATTCTGCGCACGCCATGGTGACAACACGATCCCCTGGCAGCAGGCCCGGGCCTCTGTGAATAGAGCCCGGAAGCGAGGGCTTCCGTGTTGGGAAACCACTGGGCGGCCTTGGGTTAGAAGAGATTTAAACACTTTATCTTCACATTTTGAACACCAACATTATTAGGCGGTTAAGTCCAGATACCTGTGAAGGAATAATACTGAACTGAAGTAGATAGCTGTATGAAAACTTAATAAGATGAATATTTTAGTATTAAATCCTGTCACTTCCATTAGATATATTTCCCTCTTGTATGACAGTTGTCAATAAAACCCAATTTCTGATTGCTCATTTGCAAAGTTGTTCTGTAGAGCCAGCAATAAATTCCTTAGAGGGTATTGCCCTTGATGTCCGAATGTCTGTCAGGGGAGACGCTCGCTCGGTGTCAAAGTGCCTGAAGTAAACATGTGTGAATTCTTAGTGTTAATTGTTCTTATTTTTAATTTTCATTTTTCTCCCTTATTTGTAGAACAAAGCACGTAGAAAGAAGATTTGCATCATTGCTATTGTTATAGTGGTATTGGCCATTGTTATTGGACTCATTGCCTGGTCTGCGTCTTAAAGGTGAGTAGAGGAGCCACTTGTCACTTGATACTTGACACTGCACACTCACCAACACCTTTTCAGAATTTTTTGCCTTCTGACAGATTTGAATATTGCACCTGATCTTTTTATCACTTTTCTTTTTCTCTTTCTCTTTTATTAATTTTCTGCAGAAAATTTTTGAATGTCTTCTTATCTATGTATGAAATTCATGCAGGTGCTGTTTTTTATATCTAATTATTTGTGACGACTTCATAAACTCATGTCTGTTGATCTGAGATTGGTTTGATTTTGACTTGTGTTAAGCTATACTGTATTTTGAATATATTGATAAATAAGATTTAAGTTGATTTATGATGCATTAACAAATTTGAATAGAATCCGAGTAGTTGATACGTAAATGTAAATGATCACCAGCATGTATAAGTTTGTGGGAAGGTAATTGAGAAAGGTAATAAAAAAAAATAATGATGTAAAAGTATGCTAGAGTGTAAATCACAAAATGATAACATTGATCTGATGTATGATTAGGCTAGAACTCTTGTTTATGTGTGTCCTCTATTTTTTCATCTCATTTATGCAGTAGTGGTTTCTTCTTAGATAATCATGTCTTCTACTGTTCTTTCTGGTAATTTCCTTTCTTCATTTAGACCTATTGTAAAATCCCGTCTGTCTCTCCTCACAGGACAAGTCCAGAAGGAAGGTGGTCCTCCTCACGCTAGTTTGCATCATGATTGCCCTCGTCATCGGCCTCATAATTTGGGCCAGCAACTAGAGCAGAAAGTTGATGCAGAGGAGGCACCCTTGGGGTGACACGAGGGCCGCACAGGAGGGAGAGGTTCCTCATCCTGAAGCAGCGAGCATTGACTCCCTGAGTTCGGCGATGATATTGCTAATGGGTTCATCACTAATGTTGTTATTAAAAGAGAAGTGGCCTTGTTGAGAGGATTAGTCACAATGTGTTAAGCACCTCCACCACATCCTCAATGTTTTATCTGATAGAGGGACATATATAACTTCATCTCTGCTGTGGATATATTAAAATGTAGCTGCTTTTTGGGCTGGAAATTTAAATACCATACTGTTCTGATATTTTGTACATGTTGCCAAAGAAGAATTACTGCTTTTCCTTTTTTAAAAACTATTTTTAGATGTGTTAACCAAGTCAGGATTGGGTAATGGCATTTCCATCATTGTTGTATCTGGAAATTATAGAAAAGTACAATGTCATTGCATTGTAAAGCAGTCAGTAAATTGTGTAGGGAGGGTAGGGAAGCTGGAGTTATTTATGTTGAAGAACATTGGTGTTGATGACTTTAATTCACCCAACTGTCAAGAATGCAGCAGTAAGATGTGACGGTATAGTAGAGGTAGAAATAATGCATTATGTCGAAAGCTGTTATTTAATTAGATGTGAACCGGTTGAGAAATTACTTGGGATCTTGTGTTATTCAGATGAAATTGAATTTCAGAGATTGGTCACTTGATTAGTACAGTTGTCATGTATTTCATACCATAGTCATTTGTAATGGTGATCATCATTACAGAATTGTTTATTGACTATAATGGGAATATGTTTGAAATGGCACTTTTCTAAATGGTAAATCAAATTATGGGGTACGAAGGGGTCTTCAAATCCTTTGTCAGTTGAGATCATGCTGCAATTTTTTATTATTATTATCATCATTGTATTTACCCTTCCAAATAAGCTTACAAGACAGATTTTGGTCCTCGGTATTACCATCAAGCAGAGTCTGGTTGGGTTAATTCATACCATTACCAGTCCTGCTGTTGAGAGGATTAGTCTCAACATATATTTTAGCTTGCTTGAGTCACCTGTGCTGAGTTTTGCGTTTGGACTGTTGCTAGCCAAATGTGATTTTTTTTTTTCTTTCTTTTTTTTCTTTTTTTTTTTTCTTTTTTTTTTCTTTTTCTTTTTTTATGTGGGATGTAAATGATCTGATAAAAATTATTTTCTATTTGTCCTTTGTTCTTGTACATATATAATCTGATTGTCAATTGTGATATTTGTTATTTTCAGTCAAATTAATATATTTGTATATTTTATATAGCTGCATGCACTCTAGCTCCATGTACAGGATTTAGAAATTAATATGTTTTGTATTGTTATATATCAGCAAAAGAGGAAAATCAAATTGATATATGTTTAGGGGCAATGTCACACCTGTACACACCTTTTGATTTTGATAATTAAAATATATGCACACATGACTTGTGTGAGTCTCAGTTTTTATGTCCGAGAAATCCAGATAAGTCCTCATTGAAATTTAGGATTGTGATCTCTCTTAAGAAAACAAATATGCAGTTGGTTTGTGTATAAGGAAATACAATTTTTCCCATTGTTACTGAGGTATATATATATATTTTTTCCTCTATTTTTTTCTTCTTTTTTTTTCCTTTTCTTTTTCATGTATTTTATGCTTTATTTTCATTGTGATTATTCTTTTCCAACACACATTGAGGAAGTGCGAGATGTTTTATAGATTGATGTAATGTGTGCATACTGTATTTTTCTTTAGTTGTTGTCTCTAGAATTGATGTGATAGCAAATTTTCCAAGATTTTTAAAGAGCAGAATTGAGTCATGCAAAATTCCCATTCCAGTGTGTAATGGACAATCATATTCACAAGTAAAAATTTTAATAATGCCAAAGAAATGAGCATAGTTTATTGAAACTTCAGTTATTAGATCATCCTTTAAACGATTATTTTTTATTATGATTCTTATTATTATTAATACTTATTGTTGGTTATTAATATGTCACTAAATGGGTAGAGATAATATGGATGAACATTAATTATGTTGAATGTGTGAAGAAGCTTGCTTTGTCATAGAGGAACTCCTTGTATAGAATGTATAAAATTTATTTATATAATAATAACTTAATACCTTAGTTTCTCAGGATTTGTTTATATATTTTCTCCCTTATAGCATATCCACTTCTAAGATGCTTTAGCCTTTGAAAGTACCAAAAGACATTGTGTATTGCCACAGTACAGTAAACGTATTTAGGAAACACTTTTACGTTAAGAATGGTAAGAAAACATAGATACATGTATAGGAATTTTGCAATTGCTCATAAATGCAACTTGTTCTTGGGTTTCTTTGGTGTCACGGAATGTGTGTTGACAATTAAAAAAAACTTGTCATTTGGGACGAGGATTTCCCCTCTTAAGATATCCCATTGCTAGAGCTAAGCCATTGAATTTAGCCGCCAGTTGATGGGATACCAACACACATCAAGTCGTTTTGATGTTGTCATTTAGTGGAAAAAAAGAGAAGAGTTTGTTGGTTGTAATTTTTTATATTATTCATGTGGAAAACACCCCAGTACTTTTTTTTATGGAAGTTCCCAAATAGAGGTAGTAGTTGATACAAGGCAGTAGAACCTTCAAAATTGAGCCGTAAAAGTTCCTGCTGTTGACCGATTGGATTGTCATGCTAGTAAATTGTTTCCCCTCGTGGCTTGGTGGGCGGTTCTGCTGTTTCTGGATTTTATATACAGCAAGAATGTGTGTCCTTGTACATTGTGATACATTGTTGTTATTTGATATGTGAAATCCGTCTTACCTGAGGCTTGTGCGTTGAGTTCTGTGCTCTTTTGTAATGGTATGTAGTGAAGCCAGGAGTTGGGTGTGAAAGGCTCCTAAGGACTCTTTAGTGTCAAAACTCCAAGTAATTCTGAAATTGTCATGTTGAATGTTTGTCACAGTGTACAGCAAGACATATGTCAATGATTAGTTTATTAGTTCAGGTGTTCATGTACCTTTTTTCTCTCTTTTCATTATATATATATTACATTACTTTACAATGAAGAAGAAATTCTCAAGAGAAAACTGTATTTCAGACATATACTAGCGATGATTACTTTTGCAAAATCCTCTCTTGTTTCTAGTGCATATGTATTCACCCTACAGTGCTATCGTGTCTCAGACTCTTTGGAATACTATTCACAGGACTTCACAGTCTGTTCATATAGCAAGAAGTGCAACACTTGTACATTTGCGTCTGGGCGTGTTTCTGTGTGTTTGCATACGTGAATGCTTGTGCTCATTGATGTGAGCGCAAATTTGTTTGATAGAACAGTTAACATTTTTTTCAAGGCCATGAAATGGCATATACCTTTTGTGCATAATCATCTGCCTTGTTAAAAACTGATAACATAATTCATTTGGAAATGACAAACATTAAAGTTGATATATATACTTAACACATTCTCTTCATATACTCATATATTCATAAGCACATTCCTCAGAAGTTCTGTTAGTATATATATACTCTGTTCAGTTTACATTAATCTGCTAGATAATAAAAAAACAAAAACAGAATACATATTGATAGGCAGACCTCTACTTAAAATGAAAATGGAAGGCAATATGTGCCTGTATGACAAGGCTTTGTGTTGAACTTCCCATATCTCAAGCCAGGTGAAAACTAAGTTGTGATGGATTGTTTTCTCCCTCTACACACTTTTTAAAAATATAAATACAAGAAAAATTATCCTGAAAAAATAATATGCTATAGATTGAGGTTGCTTTGCAAAATACTGTGGTGTATTTGTTACCAGTATACATTGTTAAAGTAAGATATGGGATAGTTGATTAGCAAAGAATAGAAAGAAACTGAGAATGATATTAAGAGAGCTTAATAACCTTAAAGCTTTTAGAAGCATGTAATAAATTTTCTTTGGGATTTATAGTTTTTGCTCATTAGAAAAAAATGAAGTTCCCCTGTATTAAGGAGCATCAATAGATAAAAGTATGCAGTATATCATACAAATGATGTAAGAGTTCTGACCTGTAGTTCACACGTACCGAATGTAGATAAGATACTCAGCCTCTGAATAAAGAGTGACCATCAAGTCTGCCTCAGAGACTCATACAGCACACGACACTTGAGCTGAAAGTGACGTCCTGGCTGAATATGTTCAGAAAATCCTTTTACTCCGATGTACCACTGAAACATTTCTCATACTATCGTTATGTGTAAGCTTTGCACTGTACTTGTTATGTATTGTTATCATATTCACATTGCCACATTATACGGTAAGTGGTGTTATACTCTGAACTGTATAGTAGCATTCCCCTATGCTCTATATATCTGTAAAATATATTGGATAGAGCATATATGCATTGTACATAAAATGGTGTTGTGTTATATTGATTTTTTTTCTTTTCTTTCTTTCTTTTGCGATGCAGTTAAATAAAACAGTGTAGTTGTGAATGCTTCTTTACTTAATGTAAGAAATTCAGAGTAAATAAATTATATATTATGACTGATTCTATTCATGTCCATTGATTTGCCTTTGAATACTTTCTGTGAAATCTTTAAATATAAAACATAATAAAGAGATTGAATTAAATAAAATTGATAGAGTATTGTTTGAATATATTTGTGCATCTGCTGGTTCTACATCTGTACATATGTTTCTTTGGGTATGTTTATATCATCTCTCTGTCTGTCAGTCTTATATATGAGTGTATGTCTGTGTGTCTGTGTAGATAATAGATATTCACAGGATGCAAAATGTCTCCATGTGGAGGGCTTTTGCCTTTCTTAAATTAATAAACTTATCAGTTATGTGATTCATTTTCTCAACATTTTTTATGGAATTTATGGCATTTATCACAAATTCCACATTAGGAAGGTTATATCTCTGTTTCTGTCTTGAGAACTTCAAATACACACACACACACACACGCACACACACACACACACGCACGCACACACACACACACACACACACACACACACACACACACACACACACACACACACACACACACACACACACACACACACACACACACACACACACTGTTCACATTCAGAATCACGCACAAGCGCTCTCACACACGCACGCGCGTGCACTTATACATGCACACAAGGTCTATAGACTTCTATAGACCTTGCCCTCTCGCACACGTTCATGAGCGCGCACACACCTTCGTGCACAAACATGCCTCCACCTGCGTTCCTCGTACTGCTCCATTTCTTCCTTCGTGGCTCCTTTAAAAATGCAAATAAACTGTAAAGGTGTAAGCAGTACCAAATACATTTTGCATAAATGAATGTAAATAATAATAATAATAATAAAAAATATAAGAGAGACCATTCACTTTAATGCAATTGGCCTCGCCATTGGCCAGGGAGTCTGTAAAGTCTGTCAAAGCCTGAGAAAAAAACCCTACTATGTCTGTAGCCATGTTGAAAAACCAAGACTTATGGGGAAATAAAAGAAGAACACGGTAAACTAAATGAGAATAATGGTGTTCACAAAAAATATAAACGCTAAAAATAAATATTTCCTACAGGTCGTCCTCTCAGCAATTTTCACTTGACTTTGTGTCTGGAAGCGACGGCCTGATCCGCGAACCTCCTTGATCAGCGCAAAAAGTACTGACATTCCTGTATCGTTGGACTTCATATTTTTTACTGTGTATATGTATGTAAATGTTAAAACGAACAAAAAAAAAAACACGAATATTTATATATATAAGATCCAAAGACTTAATATATCATCTATCTATCTGGCTATCCATCTGTCTATCTGTATGTGTATTTATTTATTTGTCTCTATGCACACATAGATACGATCTGATTACGATATCAGCGATCAGAATGGTGTCAACGTAACGAAAATCGATTCTTTGGAAAGAATTCAAACACGACTCAATAAGGATGTTGCAAAAATAATAATATTATCCCAAAGAAAGAAAAAAAGCCCGAGTCATGGAGTTACATTTTTTACTAGAAACTTGTGACGTCATGGCCATCGCAAAAACAACAAATTCAAGGAGAAGAAGAAGAAGAAGAAAAAAAAAATAGACCTGTAATCCTCAAGTGTAATCGTACGCGGATTACATAACTTGCGCCTCGACATAAGGTAGTTTAGTCCCCGCTTTCACTCGACAAGTTATAATCCTTTCCTCTCAATGGGGGAAGGAAGGAGAGAATCAAAAGGACCATATATGTAATAACTTTATATTTAAAAAAATTACACCTTATTCAAAAATACGGTCGAAGCTAAACAACTGCAGAAGTATGGTATAATTAATTTTTCAATGACATTATTATCTGAGGTTGAAAATGAAATAATAGTTACTAACACAAGAAATGTTGACTCGAAGATATAGAAGCACAAAATGAAAAAAAAAAAACCGAGTACCGTGTCGAAAACATAAGCAAATATTACAAGAATACAATAGAAATTTTATGCAGGCAAGGAAAAGAGAACGATCAGCAACGAGAGAGAGAGAGAGAGAGAGAGAGAGAGAGAGAGAGAGAGAGAGAGAGAGAGAGAGAGAGAGAGAGAGAGAGAGAGAGACAGACAGACAGAGAGAGACAGAGAGACAGAGACAGAGAGAAGGAGGGAGGGAGAGCAAGAGAGAGAGAGAGAGAGAGAGAGAGAGAGAGAGAGGGAGAGAGAGAGAGAGAGAGAGAGAGAGAGAGAGAGAGAGAGAGAGAGAGAGAGAGAGAGAGAGGGGGGGGGGGGGGGGAGAAAGGGAGAGAGAGAGAGAGAGAGAGAGAGAGAGAGAGAGAGAGAGAGAGAGAGAGAGAGAGAGAGAGAGAGAGAGAGAGAGAGAGAGAGAGAGACAGACAGACAGAGAGAGACAGAGAGACAGAGACAGAGAGAAGGAGGGAGGGAGAGCAAGAGAGAGAGAGAGAGAGAGAGAGAGAGAGAGGGAGAGAGAGAGAGAGAGAGAGAGAGAGAGAGAGAGAGAGAGAGAGAGAGAGAGAGAGAGAGAGAGAGAGAGAGAGGGGGGGGGGGGGAGAGAAAGGGAGAGAGAGAGAGAGAGAGAGAGAGAGAGAGAGAGAGAGAGAGCGAGAGAGAGACAGAGACAGAGACAGAGAGAGAGAGAGCGAGAGCGAGAGCGAGAGAGAGAGAGAGAGAGAGAGAGAGAGAGAGAGAGAGAGAGAGAGAGAGAGAGAGAGAGAGAGAGAGAGAGAGAGAGAGACAGAGAGAGAGAGAGAGAGAGAGAGAGAGAGAGAGAGAGAGAGAGAGAGAGAGAGAGAGAGAGGAAAGAGAGAGAGAGAGAGAGAGAGAGAGAGAGAGAGAGAGAGAGAGAGAGAGAGAGAGAGAGAGAGAGAGAGAGAGAGAGCGAGAGAGAGAGAGAGAGAGAGAGAGAGAGAGAGAGAGAGAGAGAGAGAGAGAGAGAGAGAGAGAGAGAGAGAGAGCGAGAGAGAGACAGAGACAGAGAGAGAAGAGAAGAGAGAGCGAGAGCGAGAGCGAGAGCGAGAGCGAGAGAGAGAGAGAGAGAGAGAGAGAGAGGGAAGAGGGAGGGAGAGAGAGACAGACAGACAGACAGATAGATAGACAGAGACAGACAGACCGAAAACGGCGGGATATGCTGACCTTAATCATCAGAAGAAGCGAATTCAGCAATTGGTGATTGGTTAGCTGCAGGACTTGTTGATGTTACACATCATTCGATGCGATGGCTCTGTGTGTGTGTGTGTGTGTGTGTGTGTGTGTGTGTGTGTGTGACTGTAAATATCATTCTAATTACCATTATATATCATTAATACGATTATTTTCATTGTTGCAATAACCCTTACTTTTATTGTTATTTTCATTATTCCTATAAGTATCAATTTCCTTTTAATTTTCGCTTTATTCTCTGTTCCGAAAAAAAATAAGCGAGACTAAGAATACATAAAATGAGTCAAAAAGACAAGTTAACAACAAAAAAGTCAAGTAAGCAAAAACAGAAGAAATTACTTAAGAGGATATCATGCAATTGAAGCGAGAGACAGGTGTGCGTCTGCTCTCTCGTCAGATGTACACATGCATACGTACATACAAGCCTACATCTACACTCATACACACATGCGAGCGCGAATAAAAAACACGCATGCATATATAGTGCACAAAACAGAAAATAACATACATAAACAAAGCACAGACAGACCCCCCCCCCCCACACACACGCACACACGAACACACACACAAACACACATCAAATCGAGTGATGACGTAACAGCCGGCAGTTAACCAATCACGCGCTGGCTCTGACCACCAACTACTGATGCTGGTCACCCACATGCAAGATTTAGAGCGCCGTGACCAGAAATCGGCTGCAATTATCAAACCAATCCTCTTTCTTCACGACAAAAATCCCTCTAGTTTTCTCATTAAGTTCTCGTTTCTAAGTTCCCTTACGTCAGAGGAGCGAGAAAATCTTAGATAATAACGAAACGAGAGGTCCCGCTGCTCACGTCCTCTCTCGTGGCCTTGTAATGTGTACATAATATATCATACACGTGTGCAAGACATGTGTTTAACGTGCAGAAAGTTGGGGTGTCAAAATGGACCTCTGAGCTGTGCATTAGGCAACGTTGCAACAACTGTCAATACACTTCAACATTTTATTTTTTTATTCTTTAGACTAAGGCTATTCCGACCGAGCATTGCAGAGTCCAAATAACGTGTTTGCGGTTTACCAGGCGCACTTAAGACACCGTATGGAGATCGGGTGACGAAATGTACTACCAGCTCTCTTACTATATATCTTACACGTTCTATTATTGTATTCGGAGGAACATACGTGTCGGCGCAACAGAATAGCTCCGGATTGTCCATGTTCACTCCTGATGCCGTAGGTCTGGCGTGCATGTGGTTATCAGGGCTCTGTATGCGCCCTCAGGCTGGTCTCTTGCCTCAGTGTGGGCGCCGTCACTCGCTTCGCCGTCCCTCCGGGCGCCTCTGCACACCGGTGTCACAGATGCTCTTTCCTTGCTGTTTCGATAGCAGCTTAAAAATGCGTCTTTCAAAAGTAATTCATGATACCCATTTTTATCATATTATTATATGTAATTTATCGTTCGCACAAAAATTATTTATATACGTCTATTTTCCTTCTAGGTCTTGATTTACGCGTGTATCACCTCCTCCCGTTCCATCTTTATCGTGTTGTCGCCATTTCCTCGTCCTCCCCCCAAGCCGTTCTCGTCCCACGGACTCAGATAGACCATTATCTTATCAGTCCAATGTAACCAAATCAGATATATCTAGATCGCTGCTTCCAGTCACACTGCCAGGGCCTTGTGTCTCATGTTAATAATTCAGTAGTACTTCGCTCTCCCAATACAGCTGCTAAAAATATTTACCGCGTCACACCTCATAGTAACCTCCCTCCCAAGATAATGTATTCTTTATCCTTATATTTAATCTTTCTTCCATCGCGATTTATTTCATAGTAACCACCCAGAGAGCATAATCATTGTATCCTCATAGTAACCACCCAGAGAGCATAATCATTGTATCCTCTATCCCTATCTCTTCTTCCCCTTCTCTGTTTCCCCCTTTCGCCGGCATTTTCATCCTAACCGCACTTTCTCATGTTGCCATTCGTGTGTCGAAAAGTGATCCCGAACGGTACTTTCTCCCGCTCGAACCTTCATCCCTCATTTCGCGCGGATCTTTCGGAATATCGATGCGACTAAAACAGAAGCAAAAGTGGGAAAATTAAACATGGTAAAAAGGAACAAACGGGAATAATAAATACGTAAATAAGTAAACAGATTAAGAAAAAACTCCCACACAACAATGGAGCGTACTCTCGCCTCGTCCGCCTCAC